TCAAAACCACAAGTAGGTACCACTGCAAACCCACTAGGAAGATTAGAGTAAAAAAGACAATAACAAGTGGTGGAGAGTGGAGAAATTAGACTCCTTATATATTGCTGGTAGAATTATAAAATGGTACAGCCACTTTGGTAAACAGTTTGGCAGTTCCTCCAAAAATTAAATATAGAGTTACCATTTAACCTGTCACTTTCACTTCTATGTATATATCCAAGAAAAATAAAAACATATTCACACAAAAACTTGTACATAAAGGCTCATAGCTGCATTATTCATAATTGCTAAAAACAGAAACAACTCCAATGTCCATTGACAGATGAACATGTAAATTAAATGCGATACATTTGTACAATGGAGTATTATTCAGCCATAAAATGGAATGAAGTACTCATTCATGCTGCAACATGGATGAACCTCGTAAACACGCTAAGTGAAAGAAGCCAGTCACAACAAACCACGTAGTGTATGATTCCATTTATATGAAACATCCAGAATAGGCAAATCCATGGAAACCGAATAGATCAGTGGTTGGTTGCCAGGGGCTAGAAGAATTTGGGGGCTGGGGAGTAATTGATAAAGGGTAGAAGGTTTCTTTTTGGTGTGATATAAATGTGCAGAAATCAGATAGTGGTGGTGGTTGTATAACCATTGAATTGTATCTTTTCAAAGAATGAATTTTGGGGGGTGTGAATTATGTCTCAATAAAGCTGTGATTTAAAAATGTTGAAGAAATACAACCCTGTTGTTACTGAATTATTTCTATTTTTATTTTGTAGCTATTATCGCAAAATTTGCAGAAATCTTTTGCTTGTAAATGGTCTTGGCAGTGGATTATTGCTAATTACCATACCCTTTAGAATTCAGAAATTTTTATAGAAGTTTTACAGAAATTCTTCTGTTTATAAGCAGATTAGGTGTAGTATGTAGATACATTTCCTTTAAGTCAAAAGTTACACCGTTAACATCCACTAATGCCATTTCTGGTGGCAGGCAGAGTAGAAGTACTTTTGCTGTGGGCTTAGCTTATTCATATCTATGAAAGTTCATAAATTGGAAGTTTGTAATAAGGACTGTCAACTTTTATTTATGTATTGTTTTTAAACTACTCTGAAGAGCCTGTGATTTGAATAGTAAGAGAATAAACTGTTTTATACTTTGAAAAGCATTAACTCAGTGCCGTTGAATTTCTCTCAGAATTCAGTTTTAATCTGTTCAGATAATTTTGTTCAAATAAACTTTTTTGTTCCTTCATTTTCTTTTTAGCCCATATAGTTGCAGAGAAGCTCCCTGCATTTTGATATATATTCCTGATGGACACACTAAGGAAATGCCAACATCTGGATCAAAGGAAAAGACCAAAGTAGAAACAACAAAAAATGAGGTAAACACCGACTATATATCCATAATGATCAATGATCTTTCTTTCCTAGGACTTAGAATATATTTCTTTACAACTGGTTGTCTTTCTCACTTTTGACACTAAAGAATAGCTTTTTTTGTGTCTTTGTTTTTATTGTCATCTTTTACCTTCATGTAAGATTTTAAAACACCTTACAAAACAAGATTT